ATCGAGACGTAGCGGACGGGCCTCCTGTATCCAGCGTGAGCCGCCGGTCGGCTTTGACTTCCTTGCCATCGAGAAACCGAATCCATCCACCGATTCGCCTGGTCTCAACGGCCTCGCCACCGGCGAGATGCGCAGTGTGCGCTAGAGGATCACCGGAACTATTCGTCTTCTGTTATGGCTGCGTTGCCCCGACCCTGCTAGGTCATGTGAAATGACGTCAATATCACCATCGGACGCGCGGAATTCGGCTTTTCCGCCTCCATAGCATTATTAAGCGATGTACCCTCACGGACACCGGCTCAAGCAGCTACAAGGGGTCACCGAAGGACAAGACAAGCCACCTTGATCACCCTGATCACCCTGAGTCAACAACAGGTCCTCGGTATCGTCGTATTGTAGCATGTCACTGCGTAAATGCTAGAAATAGCACACATCGTCCGGAATCGTGGGACGGACCCTGCTGGTAAACCTTCGGGGAGCGGTAGACTGGTGTTGAGGCAACAGGGGCCCGCATTTTGACCGCTACACCGCAAGCTACGTGCACCCCACCAGGTGCAGACTTTCGTGGCGATGTGAGTGGCACAATCTCAGGACTTTGCATCGAGAGCCACTTCAAAATCCTTTTAGACCGGTGTACTTCGCCTCCCGCCGATCTGCGTGGAGCGAATATGATAATCTCGGGCTTATCTGCAGCGCTGATGCCGACACAGCGGCGATGGCTACCGCGGCTCGCGCCAAGACGTCCTGCTCGTGCGGGAGCGCACACTTTTCATTGGTACTCCAGGTGAATATTGCCAGACATCGACTTCGAGAAGTCTTGCCGGTGGATGATTACGAAACCCTCCCTCAAACCGGTTACACCCGCGGAAATGATACCAGCCGATGATCGCCACCCCACGGAAGCCATCCTCGGTGGGGAAAGCTCCACTCCGGTCCCAGCCGTCAGCGCCTGCCGACCTGGGCCAGGGCACCGTCACCGCAAGCCCCGCGGCCTCGCCTCGCCCCGCAGAGCACGGCACACGTCAGACACGCGCCCCAGGCAGGCGGTACTCACGGGTTGTCGATGCGCGAGTCCATCACGTTGAGAAGATAGTAGTTGATCCCGGTAAAGTAGCGGCGGTGCAGAAAGCGGTCGACCAGCTGGCGCCAGGTGACGTACAGGATCGTCGATATGTAGATGCGCGACCCCTTGACCTGCGGAAGGTCGAAGTGACACTCAGACCGCTGCCACCACAGCAAGCTGTCGTCTCAGTGACAGCGGTGTGAGAACAGCAGACAGGGAGGAGGGATGTTCCCAACCAGCTCGAAAGCACTTAGCTCTTAACACGGTAGCAATAGCCTTATTCCTCGGAGAAAGAACAGCAGAATGGAGATATAGATGGGTTGATATTTCGGCAACATTCCTATATCGAAACAATTATATATATATATATATATCTATATCTATCTATCTATCTATCTATCTATCTATCTATCTATCTGTATCTATATCTATATCTATATCTATATATATATATATATATATATATATATATATATATATATATATATATATATATCTATATCTATATCTATAAGTATACATATATATATATAAGCTTAAAATTACAGAGCCAGAGCCTAAGCTCTTAAAAAACAATGCTGAAGCCGAAACCATCATATTTTCACACGAGGCCAAAGCCAAGGCTGCATCCTACGGCTCGAAGCCGGTACCAGGAGGCCGGAAGGGCACTGGCGCCCCCAAACCCAAAGCCATCAATACACAAAATAGCTTCACGAAGCCGAAGCCGAAACCGGCTTCGCCCCCAAAGCCGGCACGTCGAGCCAAAATGTAAACATTGACGGTGATGAAGTTATCTGCCGCGTGCCGTCAGCAGCCGCGACGTTCAGAACGCCCCGAGACTGCCTAGCGGCCACGGCCAGCGTACGCTACACTTCTATGGCGTGCGACAGAGGCGGGCACACTCACAGAGGAGACGACGAAGACCGGGCCGAGACACTCACGAACGATGGGAGGATCAGGCCTCGGGCTTTGAACGAGGTGAGGATCAAAATTATGTAAGCTGTTCAGTGCATTTGCGAGGAACATTATTCCCAAGATAACACGGTAGCGATAGCCTTATTCCTCGGAGAAAGAACAGCAGAATGGAGATATAGATGGGCTGATATTTCGGCAACATTCCTATATCGAAACAATAGCAGAAGCCTTTTTTCAATAAAGGCATGTTGCCGAAACATCAACTCATCTATATCTCCATTCTGCTGTTTTTCAGAGGAATAAGGCTATAACTACTATCTTATCGAGATGAGGAACGGACTAAGACACACACGAACGAGACAAGGGTCGGTCTAAGACATCTGCAAACGAAACGGGGATCAAGCCATGACACTCGCCTACGAGATGGGGATGTAGCCGGGGTACCCAAGAATAAAACGAAGACCAGACGCACAGGATTTCACGAGACGTCGGGCTGAGGCACGAACGAGGGTAGATACGAGTGGGCCGAGACACTCACGAACGAAATGACGAGCACTAGGCCGAGACACTCAGCGGTGAGAGTGCCGAAGGCGTTCCAGTCCTTGTCGCCCAACACTTGGTAGTACCGGCTGGGTATGATACCAACCCAATACACCACATACTGTTCTGAAACGATACGACCGAGGAGAAGGGCGATGTTCAAGGGCTAAGATCATTAGTGAACTTAATAGTAACATGAAGCCGACATCTCACGAACTTGTACTTTTCGCCTGGTTGTATAGTCATCCCTAGCATGCTGCATGATAGGTAGAACCTCCCTAAAATCACACATGAGCATCCACTGTTGAGAGAACGATGCTGATCAAGCCAACACCTCTCCCTATCAACCACCGGACCGAGTACGCCCCAGCTCGACAGGAGCCGACACTGGCTGCCGGCGCGCCCACCTGACCCGCTGAAGATGAGCAGCACCACCAGCTGAAAGACGCTGAAGGAGCCGAGGCTGGGGAACATGACCTTGAGCAAGGCCCAGGCGTGGCGGCAGAAGGTGCGGTCCAGGCCGTACCCGCCTTCTTCCGGCGTGCGCTCCTCCTCCGCCGGCGACGCCGGCTGGTCGGCGCTCTTCTGCGCGTCGGTCGTCGGTCGGCGCGCCGGCGTCGGTCGGCTCCTCTGGCGGGCACTGCACGCGCATGGTCGCCGCACAGGGAGCCGTTGCTGGCGATGGGTCGCTGCCGGATGGTACGTTGGATCGAATCAGCTTACGTCATGTGGCTGCCAACCACTGCCACTGACGATGGGTCGCTGCCGGATGGTAGGTTGGATCAAATCAGCTTACGTCATGTGGCTGCCAACCACTGCCACTGACGATGGGTCGCTGCCGCATGGTAGGTTGGATCGAATCAGCTTACATCATGTGGCTGCCAACCACTGCCACTGACGATGGGTCGCTGCCGCATAGTAGGTTGGATCGAATCAACTTACGTCATGTGGCTGCCAACCACTGCCACTGACGGTGGGTCGCTGCCGGATGATAGGTTGGATCGAATCAGCTTACGTCATGTGCCTGCCACCCACATACTGCTAGCATTCCTTCCTTTTCTGGTGTGTTTGATGCTGTGTGCTCACCATGCCATTACAGCACCCATTGTTCAAAGAAAATTTGGCAATAACTAGCTATCTGGATCATGATGGCATTTCAGCACTCAGGTAGCTGGGTATTTTGCAGCTTTTTTAAAAAATCTACCAACATATCTTATCTGCCACTAATTGATTCAGCATCACCTATCCTGCCCTCTGATGTTAGATGACCTTTGTTGCCACCAATGACACTGGCCCCAGGCCATACCTGTCCAGGACAAATAGAGGGCCCTTAAAGTGACCCCCCCCCCTCCTGCCAGGGTCAGTGGATTGGAAGACAATTGCCCTAACCCACTGAGCCACCAGGAAGGATGAAATGGATGATGGCATAATAATGATACAATAAATCACAATGAAACTCCAGCTAGGCATGTGGATGTCTCCCCCAAGCATGTTTCCACAAAAGACCAGGACAGCAGTGAATGCCTATGTAATAACACCATGGCTTGTGTAGTGGCTGGTCAATATTGAGGTAGCATGTGATACAGACACCTGTCCACATTACAAAGCATACAGATGATTTGGATATGAGCACTATTAACTTCCAAAAATTGGCACTGCTTCCCTTATAACTTAGCATCAGAAGTAAAATTTAGCATGGTGGTTAGGTGGTACACACACCCCCACCTACACAGTAAGGGAGGAGTTGACCAGCATGAGAGACCACCAAACTAAATAATAGCACCAAGAAAGTAGGTATCTGATCCATTTTCACAGAATGCATTGCTTTCAACCAGTTTCTGAACCTGTGCATGGTGTCATTTGACACTGCCACACAATAATTACTTGAATGTTAGTTGAATGCAACTAAATTTAATGATTCTTCATCACAGAAAAGCAATAATTACAAGATGAAAGGAATGTTGATTCCAGGTTCATCAAGACGCACGGCAAGTTGTGTTAAGTGTGGAGCATTTGGCATTCCTAGCTTACAGCAATTTAATTACTATTAACTTTTGTTTTCTGCAAATTTCCAGCACCTATCATTTTTGGGATCTCTTGCTCCACTACCACCAGCGACTAACACCAGACATCACGTGAGTCCATGATTTGCAGTTGGCAATGCAACATTAGCGCTGATGGGCACCTCTGAGCAATGACCGGTATTCACAGCGCAGGCCCATCACATCCTATAGCACGCTGAATGAACTTGCATGTAAGGCGTGCATCATATTTCTAGCATTATTTCATATACAACCAATTTATGAACGCTTCAAATATCTTCATATGCATTTCTGTTTCACGTACTAATAAGTACAGCCATCCTCCAAACAACCTACCCACCTAGATCGCAGCCTCCACCGTAGGCTTGTGGCTGCGCCGATAATGAGGGTAGACGCCGACACTTTAAACTCATTGAACGGTGACGTCATAAAACCGCGAGATCACCGTCATTCGTTGAGATCCCGCTGTGAAACACTTGCTGTTTCCATTTGTAAATGTTTTTAACTATCCACGTCGGAAGAATGACACAAGCTGGAAGCTTGGCCCACAAGATCATGAAGTTGGCTCAAATGCAGGAAAAAGCAACTGAAATCTTATTTTTTATGACGCTCTTCATAGCAAGATCAACACCTCACTGTTGGTCCATGCTTCCCAGACTCCGCTGTAGCTGCGCTGTGCGTCTTATTCCGGCGAGTTCAAGAGAGTGAGTGGGTGCTTACCATCACTAGTGTCCCTGAGAGTTGACAACAACCTGTCTAAGAGTACCATGAAGAAACGGAATTTTGATTCCGAATGCAAATGCCATTTTCGGATCAATTCTTTGCAAGGTGATGAGACCAGACGGAACCGAATGGCACCAGACTAAGCGGGACCCGGCGGGGCCGACGCGACCAGACTAAAGCAGCTGGACCAAACAAACCAGGCGGGACCGAATGGAGGCGGATGGAACGCCCAGACCTCCGGGCAGAACCAGACGAGGTCACACGTAACCGAATGAAACCGAACGAGAACAGATGGACCAGCCGGGATCCGAAGGGGCCGTGCCGAACCGAACGGGACCAGATGGGACCAGTCGGGCTCCGTTCGGGCCAGTACGGTCCAATTCTGTCCCTTCCAGTTCCTTCCGGTCGCATCCGGTCACGTTCGATTTCGTTTCATCCGGTTTGGTCTCGTCTCGTCCCGTCGGGCCCCATCCGATTCCATCCAATCCTTCCCATTTCCATCCAGTTCTGCACCGTTTGGCCCTGGTCGGTCCTTGTCCTGTCAAATCCTGTCACGTCCTGTCCCGTTCTGTTCTGTCATGTCCTGTCTTGCTTTTTCCCGATCGGGCAATCCCGTCCTGTCCTGCCCTGTCCTTTCCTGTCCCGTCTTGCATCGCAGCGCCCTGTCCTGTTCCTATTGGTCACGTGACACATCCCTTGCCGTCCAATCCCTCCCCATCGCCTCGAGGGCTATCTGGTCCCGTCGGGCTCTCTCCATTCCCACCCAGTCCCGGAGCTCGTCCTGCCCCATCCAATACTACCAGACATCGAACAGTTCCGTCCAGTGCCCTCCAGTCCTACCGAGTCTCATCTGGGTTCATCCGACCCCGTCTGGTCTGATCACGTTTCATCCTGTTACGTCTGGTCCCGACGTGAAGCGTACGGCTTAAATCGGTCACATCTGGCCCCGTCCAAATCCACCTGCTCTCGTCCGTTCACATCTGGCCCTGCCTGGTCCGACCCGGTCCCGTCCGGTGTGGTCAGGTCCTTCACGGTGCGGTCCAGTCCCGTCAGGTCCAGCTCTGATCCGTTTCCTTCCGTCCAATCATGTCCGGCGTCGTTCGATCCCGTCTGGTCCCGTCTGGGTCTGTCCTATTTTATTCGGTCCTGTTCGGTTCTGTTCAATTTCGTCCGGTCCCATCTGGTCCCACACGTTATCGTCCGGTTGCATTAGGTTTTGGTGCTCACTCCCTGACCCGTCTGGTTTAGTCGCGTCCCTCCGTTTCTGTCTTGCCTCATGGGTTCACATCCGGTTTCGATTGGTCTGGTTCGGTCCGGTTTCGTCCGGTTCCGTATGATCCTGTTCTGTCCCATCGGATTTTCTCCGGCCATGTTTAGTGTCGTCTGATTCTGTCCGTTTCGGTAAAGTTCCTTCTGGTTCCGTGCGGTCCCGCTGATAAAGTTATGTTACGTTCGGTTCCGTCCGGTCACATTCATAGATATAGTTTTTTATTTACGGCTCATCCACGTGGTGGCTGTTCTGCGACTAGTCGTACAAGAAAAAGAACCGACACACAATACAGAGGTACTCACATACGGATGCACACACAGCTTCAGTCAATGATTCAACAATTTAAAACAGTCAAGATTGCCTGGCGCGAGGGGGCGCGGACGCCCGCCGGAGGCAGTCGGTTCCACACGGCGGCGGCACGGCACGGAAGTGTCGCCGGGTGGCGCTCAGTCGGACGCTTGGCAGATGCAGCGAGCCGACACCGCCCGAACAGCCCGAGTTTGACGTTGGGAAGACTCGGCGCGCGTTACGAATAGAGCTCGCAGTGCGCGGGGAGATTCGGGGACGCGCGGTGCCCTGTACACATTCGGGCAGTCCCGGTGGTGCACAAGTTCCGTGACGCTATGCCAGCCGAGCGCCTCCAGAACGAGTGAAATGTATTCGCTGCGGTGGACACATTTCCCCATGCTCACATGGGTCTTAACTGGGCAGCTCATATAGACCCCATGTGGCTTCCAGTTTGGCCCCATATTGGCCCCAGGTGGGCTGCCCATGTGGGACCCAGGTGGTTGCCCATGACATGCCCACATGGGACCAGCTATCCCATGCTCAGCTCATGCGGACCTCAGTCCAGCTAGCCGTCCCAAGTTACAAAATAATTGTACATCATGTCGTAAAACCTCAAAGCAATGCCAAAACAATGGCTATTTACATAACTGTACATGTGACAACTTTATTGCGCATGTAACAGATTGGCGGCCCATCTGCGCCCCAGATTAAGCCTAGATACCAGCCCACCTGCAGCTAATAATGACATGAACGCAGCTCGCCCACACACGACCCCTGTGGATTCCACCACAGCAAGCACTCTCTCGTCGGAAGTAATCTCTTCTTGTGGATTCCACCACAGCAAGCACTCTCTCGTCGGAAGTAATCTCTTCTTGTGGATTCCACCACAGCAAGCACTCTCTCGTCGGAAGTAATCTCTTCTTGGCGTGATAAATTCCGGCGGGACAGAACAAGGCACCAACGTTTCTAGTGCATGCAAAAATATGAAATGATGTGGACACCCCATGCGAGACCCGGCCGAAGCCCAGTTAAAAGCCCACCCAGGGGCGGATCCAGGATTTCATCAAGGGGGATGTCACGCAACACTGTGGGGCCCCCTAGAGTTTGGGGCCCCTCCAAAAAAATATTGTTGCACCCGGCTCATGACATTTTGAGACAGTATATATATATATATATATATATATATATATATATATATATATATATATATATATACCCATATAGCATAGATTCCTAAACCCATCTTACTGTGCGCAGCTCTATACGGCTGGGCGTGCTACGTATGCATATGCATAGAGCTCAGTCATGTTCTACAGATCATGTTAAATCCTTTAATTCTGAGGCTAGGTATTTCGGAACAGCAGACAAAATTAACTCACGTTGGCTGCAAAGAACCAAAGGGACCTCCATTCAAATACGGAGCACCGAAAACCCAGTGCAGAAGGCCCCGAAAGACGGGGTGTGTACCGGAGCAGATTATCAGATGGCCCCTGCAGGAGCGTACAGCCCTGAATTCAAACACCAAGACCGAATATTCAAGGCTCCCGAACAATCCAGTGTGGCCCACGAGGTGAACAGATGGGGCTCCCGACAAGAGTGTAAGGTCATCCATTCAAATGTCAAGTACCCTAGACATAATGTGGAGGGGCTCCGAATAATCGAGTGTGCCCGAGGAAGTGGGTGGGGTGGGTGGGGCCGCCGACATGAACGTAAGGTTTTCCGTTCAAATATGAAATACTCATGACGCGATGTAAGGGGACTTCGAATGATCCAGTGTGCCAGAGCAGGTTAACATATAGGGCTCCCGCCAGGGGCGTAGGGCCCTCCATTCAAGTAAAAGTTAACCAAAACCCGACGTAGAAGTCCCCCAACAACCGAATGTGTTTGAGCAGCCTATCAGAAGGGACCACAAGAGTGCAAGCCCCTCCATTCAAATAAGAAGTACCCAAATCCAGCACACAGGCCCCCCCCCCCCCGAATGACGGAGTATACCCGAGTAGATTATCAGATGACCCCGATAGGAGCGTAGAGCCCAAAATTCAAGCACAAAGACGCAATGTGTGGGGGCCCCCGAACAGTCCAGCGGGGCCGAAGAGGCCAACAGAGGAGCCCCGACAAGCACGTGGGCCCCCATTAAAAAAGGACGTACCTAAGACCCAATGTACAGGGCTCTCCAACGATCGAATGCGCCCGAGCAGGTTATCAGATAGGCCGCTGACAAGAGCGTAGGACCCCCATTGAAATAAAAAGTGCCCAAGACCTAGTGTGGAGGGCCCCAGGAGATCAAATGTATCCTAGCAGGCTATCAAGATGGCCCCCGACAAAAGTGTAGGGCCCTAAGCAAGTGAACAGATAATTGGAAGGGCCCTAGACAAATGCATATGGCCCCTGCACATATCGCAAGTGTGTCCGTAGGTTAATCGAGACCAACGAAAAGGGGCCCCGAGCAGCCGAAAAATTTCCGGCATGTCAACACATATGGCTCCCGGCTGTAGCTCACAGAGCCTTTCTGGCGAATGGAACTAATCCTTTGAATGCCCCTGATTGATAAAAGTGCCCCGGCACTCTAGCAGGAAGGGCCTAGCAACAGTGCAGTGCCCGCCGAGCCAATGCAAAGAAATCAAGGCAACGTGGAAGGCTCCTTAACGATCAGAATGGACCTGGAAGTGGCCAGATAGGTCCCCCGGAAACAGCATGTGCCGGAGATGGTAATGTGGAAGCTGCCGCTCTTTGTGATAGATGGCTTGGTGCCGATCAGCATGATGTCTGTCTTTTTGGGATTCATTCTGAGGCTATTTGACTGGAAACAGTTTTGAAGGCACTGAATGGATTCCTCAACAAGAGCTTTCAGGTCGCACAGAACGACGGCAATCGGCAGTAGCGGAGTCAGGAGTTGGGTGTCATCGGCAAATCATCGGCATCGGTGCCACATCAGGTTCCGTCTGATCCCGTCTGGCTCCGTCTGACCGTGGTCGGTTCCGTCCGGCCCTATCTAACTCCATCAGAAATCGTCCAGTTCCATCCAGTCCCGTCTAGGCTCATGACATTCCATCTGGTCTCATTCAGTCAGGTTCTAGCTCCGTCCGGCTCTGTGTGATCCTGCTCTGTCCCTCTACGACTCATCTCGTTCACTGTCCGTGTCTAAGCAGCGGCACGTGTGATCGGCAAGCGCCCGGATACTACCATAGACTTGCCGGTCTTAGACGAGCGCATGACGGTTATCACGACGGTAGTATCAAAGTGGTTCCTGTGACGTCATCATTCAATCAGCTGGAAGTGTTGGTGATCTTCACAATCTTCGTAAAATCAGCTGACAGCCGCAGCACAATTTGTGCGTCTGCTGTTGATGATCCGGTAGGTAGTCGTTCCCGAGGAAACTTTGATTATACGGCTCATGGAACTTTACTAAGGGATTTGAGGTACTCATGAAGCTCTTGTGCATCTACTGATACCAATATTGTGTGATTTTCATGTAAGAAATAGCTGCTTGAAGGTCGTTTAAGTAAGTACGACGCCTGCGCCTATGATACCTTTTTAAACCAGAAGCGAGTGGAAGGGTTGCTGTGAACGAAAGGGCTTTTGATTGTTAGTAAATGGTAGAGTGAGGTGAGGTGCTGGAAGATTAATCATTTTCAGCTGTTATTTGCTGGCAAGACTCCAAACTGCTGTGTTCTGGTGTGGATGTTCAGATAGTGAACAACTAGTGATGGATATTGGCCAATTACTAAATTGGGGTGCTCTGGGCCCATCAAAATTTTATGGATTCCATCAACCTTAAACAGGTTAAAGTAGATGAACATTGGTTTTCCATCATTTCACACCCTCTTACAACCAAAATGTCTTGAATGTTTTGCTTGCATGGATTTGGATTCTGCATACTTGTCAAGCATAGTGTGTTGCATGTACTATGAACCCACCACCTATGTTGAGTTGTCCATTTCGAACAGATAAAACTGTCTCCACTCTTTTTCCAAAAAGCAGTGAGAGAGTTTTGTATGTTGCATAATGCTGTGGCACTTCAACCAGTGCTGTGGTTAACCCTTGATGATCAGTTGTCAGCTGATCATCCCATTTTATTCAAACCAAACAATGTGTGCAGTCTGGGATTGGTATCTAATGCTGCTGGAGGTTAAGTCCAGTATCTTTACCATAGACCAACAACAAAAGCAAACTTTTGCTTCCGCATGCCTTGTTTTTTAGTTGTTTGCATTATTTTGTTAGGGAAGTATCCAAAGCCAATAATCCGGTTATAGAGGTAGTCGACACCACAAGCAGCAGATACACATAAGATAAGAAACATGTGGGTTATCAGAGGTAGATTCCATGTCAGCTATTTGAACTAAACATTGTATCTGAAGTGTTTTAGTTAGCTAGAGACAGTCTCATGGTGTGGAATGCTGCAGGGATATGTTGTGCTTCAATAATGTGCATGCTACAAACCGATTGGCCAGATCCCTTCCCAAGCTACTCATGAGACATTGTGCTTTTCATGGTTTCAGTTAACAGGTGGCAGCAGGAAGTAACAGGAGGCAGCAATCATGGTGGCAGCATTCCCACTTGCCAAGTTGGGGACGCTAGTCATTAAACAAGTCAGCAAGCCACTGGCCAATGCGATCAAGGAGAGGGCTAAGCAAAGCTACTTTTTCCGGACCTACCTCTGCATGCCACCTGCACAGTGTAAGCACGCTAAGTGACAGATTTGTACATGCCATGCGTATTGCTTAACACAAAATGTAATATGAATGTGGATGGGCCAAGGAGGTTTTGTTACAGTTATTTTGTCATTTGACAGGTTGCACAGCATATTGGGCTCATGACTGTCCATCAGTGGTTATTGTGTCACAATTGCTTCTTCTGCTGGCTGGATCTCAACAACCATCATGATGACAGTATGGTGAAGCCTTTTGGTGTGAATTCCGCGCGTCGGGTGTAGGGTCATCGACTTCGCCGCGACACTATGGACCAGCGCTGGCCCCCGTAAAAACACATCAGAGCTATGCCACCCTGTCCATGTGACGTCAGCACCGGACCGACGTGCTGCCGTCCCCGACCGTGCTGGGCTTACATGATTGTTACCTGTTTTCTGCGGAGTGAGTGTGGGGGATGATTTATGTGACAGTGACCATGCGTTCCCCACGTATCTTTCGACGGAAGGCGTAACGGCAACAAAGCGTTGGTAGATTGTAATAACACTAGTATATCTCCGTGTCTGTTCTACTTCTGAGACACTGCTGGCTGTCCAAGCGTGGCCGTTCTGGCACATCGCCGGCCCTGTGCTCGTTCAAGCAGTGATCAGGTGCGCCGCGATGTGTGCCGGTGGTCGTCCTCAGCGCGCCCGCGCGGTCTGGTTTCAGTCTACCACTGGTGTGAGGTGCGGACCAGGATGTGGGTGATGAACCTCGGTCACACTGGCCAGGTTCCCAAGCTGAACGAGGCCATGGCCATCGATCTCGGCGCCAACATGCTCGGCGAAGGTGGGTCTCAAACTCCTGACTCCCCACCCACCGAGGCGAGCGCCGTTGACGGTGGCTAGTGGCTGTGGAGGCGTGGGCATTACTGCTGATGTGTTGCGTATTCGATTTACATCTGCGTACGTATTACAGGCTGTGTGTATCCTCTGCACAGTGGTAGTTATGAATTCCATGACAACGGCGTATGATGCATGGCTGCTCACTTGCAGCATGTTTTGGAACTGACGGGCGTTCGTATTTTGAGACGCGTAATCTCGAGTCACCCGTCGGCTGCGCGCCGGCTCTGACCGTCCGGTCGTCTGGGCTGAGCCCGTACCGCCCGCTCGGCAGGCATCATCCTGGGCATCGCTACCGGCGTGCTCGTGTATGAATACAACCGGTCCAGCAACAAGGAGGAGGCGCGCGAGGCGGCGCAGCACGAGCGGCTGCGGCAGCTCGAGTCGCGCCTCGAGGACCTGCGCTTCACCACCGAGCAGCAGGACACGCGACTCCGCGAGCTCACGCGCCAGCTGGTGGCGCTGGACCCGCGGCCGCCGGCGCCGGCGGCGCCCCGCCCACCCGGGCAGACCCCGCCGCCGCCTCCTCCGCCGCCGCCGCCGCAGGCCGGCGTTGGGCTGGAGGCGGCTCTGCAGGAGGCCACGGGCCGCGTCCGCGGAAGCTGAGGACGCCGGGCTCGTGGGGCGGCTGGTAGTCCTGGAGCGGCCCGGAGTGGCGGCTTTGTGCCTGTGCCGGCGGCGGGAGCGGCGTCGCTCGGCCGCCGGCTGCGGTTCCACCCGGCGACCGACGAGTGAGGTCCTGTGTGAGAGGAACTGGAGCGTGGGCGGCGGGCCGGCTTCTAGGTAATGCTGGAGGCGCAGCACGGCAGCAGTCCGTGACCTCACGCGTTTTTATTGGTGAGCTTCGAGATGAAGCGGCTCGTGTGTTATTCGCGTGAGGACGAGCGGCTTATAACGAGGCTTCCTGCTGCACTTCGCGTGCAAAACTGTGATGCTAGGCCCTGTTGCTGAAACCGTGCTACGTTTCGGGTGATAACCGAGCGGAGCGGTTTTCGCCGGTCAAGTCTAAGGCCCGTCCCTTGAGCATGTTGTCCCAGATATGTAGTGACTACGTGTGGCTCGCGCCCTCCCGGCCCCCGGAGCTTTTTCTTCCCCGGCCAGCACCGCCACTGCAGCCGTGCTGCACAGCTCGGCGGACGCGGCTAGACGGGTGTTCGCGTCAGCTGTCCGTCTCTCTCTCCGCCGCCCTCTCCGCGATCCCGGTGGCCGCTCGCTGCTCTCGTCGCCGGGTGCGGTCCGTCGCCTGGCGTCGGCTGTGACGGGCCGGTGCAGCCAGTGCAATATAGAAACGGCACCCGGTTGTGGAAGGAATCGCTGATGACGGAGCGAGTCGGACTGCGGTTCGGAAGATGTGTCACGGCACTCAGCTGCAATGGGTTCCAGGACGTAACGGTCGAAGCCTCCCCAGAAGTCCCTTGTTCGCTTGGAGGCTGACGTGCTGACGCAGATACAATGACGGGATGGACAGGATGTTATGCATCCTGTTACTGCAGGGTATCACTATGGGGTAGGGCGTGACATGCAGACGCCAAACAAGACGTGACGCCAAACAAGACGTGAATGTAGGGCGTGACAAATAGACGCCAGACAGGACGTGACGCCAAACAAGACGCGACATGTGTAGGGCGTGACATGCGACGCCAAACAATGTAGAAGATCGCATTTCGCAAAACGCGACACTAGCAAAATTTGTATCTTGTTTTTCTGGTGATTTATTTACAACAAAGGGACCATACAATTTTCCGTCCATGGAAAATGGTCTGAGCGCGCTCGGCTCGATGAACGAGGCGGGGGAAAGCTGGTCCCTAACATCACGTGTAATATATATATATATATATATATATATATATATATATATATATATATGCATTTACCGGGACACTACATTTTCGCGACACCATGCCCGGGTGCTTGCGATCAATCTCAATCCTGCAACTATATCGCAATGGTGTGCACCACAACGCCATTCATTTTCAAACTGGCACCGGAAACCCATCGTGCGGTTTTCACGTTTATTACCCTGTTTCTTAGACAGTGAAGTGCAAAGACAACGTATCTGCCGTGACTAGCAAAAAAGAACCGGCTTGCACATCAAGCGACATGTATGACGCTCTCCCCGCAAAACGAAGTACCTCGGCAACAACGAATGGACACAATAAGCGGCGGCACCAGCACGAGCCGCGTGACCCCCGTGTGGGCGTATTGCGGCCGTGGCGTGAAACGGAAGCTTGCTGCCCTCCTGGCTCTGCACTCATCTGGCCACCTCTGCCTAAATGGCCGGCTGCAGCTGCAGCGCACGCGCTCTTTCTCTCAGCAGGCAGTCACCCATGGCAGGCGTCCGCCGGCCCCGCTGGATCCTCCGCTGGGCCTTTGCTGGCAGCCGTGGGTTCCTCCGCCGGGGCGTCTGTTGCCCCGTCACCAACCCTCGGGCAGGAGGCGCGTCCCGGCTGGTGTCGGCCTGAGCCTCGGCCGGGCCGTAGCCCCCTGCGCTCCCCGCCCGTCCGCCGAGGCCGGCCTCAGATGATCTTGATGGTGACGTTGCTGAGCAGGGCGCCAAGGCACAGGCCGAGTCCCAGGAAGGCGGCCATCATGGAGCTGGCCGTGTTCTGCTCCTCCGGCTCAACAGAGCTGGCGGCAAACACGCCACTCGGTCAGCCGAGGTCCACCCAATGACCTGGCGGGGTCCATCCACTGACCTGGCGGGGTCCACCCACTGGCCTGGCGGGGTCCACCCACTGGCCTGGCGGGGATCCACCCACTGACCTGGCGGGGGTCCACTCACCGACTTGGCGGGGGTCCACCCATCGGCCTGGCGGGATCCACCCACTGACCTGGCGGGGGTCCACCCACCGACTTGGCGGAGAAACGCTGCCACATCGGTCGACGTCAGGCTCATGAACAGCTGACAAATTACCGGGTCTGCTGCTGATTGCATTATCTGGTATGCGGGTTTAAGTTCCCGATCCTGTTCCGTCCAAATCGCGTCTGCATTTCAATATCGCCTCACCGACACCGGGCGTGAGGGTCCCAGCACGAGTCTCCAACACGAGTCTTCATCACTAGTCTCCTACTAGTGATGAAACGCGTCCGGTGACTCGACGTTAAGCGTCTGAACGCAGGACACAAATTGGCTACGGCGGCCCCCGAAGTGACGTAAGCCCGGCTATCCACCGCAAGGCTATACGCCACGCCACGTGTGCGCCGGGCACGAGGCGGACCGGAGCACCGGCCGCTCAGCTGAGCGAGCCGGCGGGTGCGCGCTCACCCGGGCCCGTAGATCATGCACAGCGTGGCCAGGTAGCCGTTAGAGAGGCCGAACACGATCATGATGACGATGTAGTAGGCGTCGTGGTCGAACACGGTGGTCAGGTGCTTGTGGTCGATGTTGCAGTACATGAAGAGCGGGACGAAGACCACTCTCAGCACCACCAGCGCCAGCACAATGTACCACTGGTGCTTCTTCGGCTGTTGGGATCAGGCCGGCCCGGCTAGTCGACGGCAGGAACTTCACCATCGATGAGGAGCGCCCTCATGCTAAACGCTTTCCGAACTAGAGCAATAGCAAGTTTGCTTGCTTGGAAGGGAACGAACAGAGGCGCGGCCATATCGAGGCCCACAATATGATACATTCATCACAGGCCTTACTATGGCCTTGATATCATGGCATACATCACATGAGCTAATCACGAATAAACATGAATCGCGGCATGAGCCGATTAGTCCATGCTCAATTAAGTTTGCGCAAAACGGCCACCCGTCCATGTTCGTTACCATACAAACCATGCCAGCGATGCCTTCTTTGACATTGTCAGACCGTCACGACCTCCATCGATTCTGCCGACGCTCTACGTGGAATTACGGCAGCACAGCCTGTATACACATTTGGAATGTGTGTGCAGGTGCGCGTGCGTGTGTGCGTGTGCGCGCGCGCGCGCGCGCGTGTGTGTGTATGTGTGTGTGTGTGTGTTGGTTCGGTGTATTCCTGCCGTAGTTGACGCCTTTGTCAGGCTAGAGGAGGATGTAACGTGAAATGCTTTGCACAGTTCGGTCCGGCTACTCACCCACACTGTGTAACCGCCGCATATTCTGCCGATGTAGTCGGTCAGATTGAACAGCAGGAAACAGCACACGGGCACAAAGTAGTCACCTGCAACGCACCACACACGCGCGGGTGACACGCGCTCTGAGAACAGTGGGCAGCACTGAACATGAAATACGAAGACGACAGCAGATTATGGTCATGGTAACCAGATAGTCGATTCATCCGCGATGACGGTTCGGGACCACCGAAACCCACGACACCACCCCAGTGCACCGAGCTGTCTCAACGCTGCAACCTGACCATGATCCACTACATTTTGCAGGGGTGCGTGCCATCCTTCTCCCAGTCACCACTCACGGGCCCAGACGGACGGGTTCTCCTTGGTGCTGGCGCGCATGGGCTCGATCTTGGCCGTGATCGCCGGGAACATGGACAGCGTCACCAAGAAGACCAGGCACACTGCCAGGGCGAACCACTTCACCTGTCGGCAGAGAGGCAGGGCTTCAGCAGCGGGCGGCGGCCCGGCCGGCTCCCGTCACCCGGCCGTGCGACGGCGCAGCTCGCTGCGCGGCCATCCGTCCAGACTACCGGCACGAACCGGACCCATCGGGGTCTGGAGGCCCTCGAGGATAGGTGGGGGTCAGATGTCACGTACCGCCATCTACGCGCTCTGCACGTGGCCGGTGGCGCCGCCTATCTAGCGGCGGCCGTGGGTCGGCTGACCTTGAGGAAGACGCGCCACACGGAGACGGACGGTGCCTTGACGGCCGCGGACGACCTCTGACCCAGGTCGACCAGCTCATTGGCAGCCCGCTTAGGACCATGCAGCACCGTGTAGTACTTGTAGAAGGCCTGGCAAACACGGACGGTATGCAACTATCAACCGCGGCGCAGCTAACCGCGGATGAGCGCAACAGAGACACTTGGTTTTATTCGCAGCTTTTGCAGGGTTCACATACTTGCTGTTGTGAGTGCGCAAGTCAGCAAAAAGCAATTCGCACGATTAACATCCCGAAAGGCAAAACCACCTCGCCGACAGAGCCTCGCCACGTCGCCAAACCACCACAGCCGAAGTAAAAACCGAAGCCGAAGTATAGCCGAAACAGTTTAGGACTTAAACACACTTAATGATGACCAAATGAAGGTCATACTACAAATCACGCATTTCCAAACTTTACAAACATGCAAGGATCAAGCCCCTATAATCGCGCAACGAATGGCGCGCTGGAAGCTGCAGGTACCGGAGATATCGCGCTAGCACGACCGTTTCGATCCGATTATACTCCAAAAAAGCAGGCGAAATGAGGCCCAGCCCAGACAGCCAATGATGCTCGTCTGAAGGGCGGGAGGGAGGGAGGGGGGGGGGGGGGGGGCGCCCGGCACGCGCTCCATTACAGCGACCGTCGGATTCCCGGCGGCATCCGGGCCGCACAAGTGATCGCGTTCCGCCCGGCATCCTGCCCCGCTGCAGCCAATTGAGGCGTTGACGTGTCCGTGTGAGTCCGACGGGTACAAGGCGAGCCGAACTCTGGCAGCGGACGCCGAGAAGGCAGAGCGCAGCCACGTCGCTGACACTGCTCTGCCTCATCCCCCCCCCGCCCCACCCCTGCCCCCGGGCGAGACGGCGGTTAAATCGAGATCATATGTACGTCATCAGCACAGTCATCGTCGCAGAATCGTTGCAACACGCTCACGTCAGCGATAGGAAGCTGGCAATGACTGCAAGACTGTAATTCGCCTCTCCCGCCAACAGCGGCCCTCGTGCTGTGGGAGAGGTGCCCTCTCCCCTGGCCGCGCCGGCCGGCCTCGCGCGCCCGCCGCCCGGCCGGGAATACTTAACAGCTTGCGTCCCGGTGCAGATCAACACAAGCCCGGAGCTGGCCGGAAACGCTCGGCAGTGGTACGTGGGAAATGTTGAAATGAGGCCACTCTTTAGAAACGACAGGCGCCCGGGACTACCACTTGCTTTAACTGATTCGCCAGCTACAGACAATATACTGCCCATCCCCAGCCACTACACTTATCACCGGGGCTTTCAAATGTGCCCCACCCACCCGTGTAACCTTTTTCATTGTTCAATTTGTTGATGTGACGTTTTTTGTACCAACTACTCCCTGCATCAGAGCGCCCCTATGACAACCGCACGCCCCAGGTGTACCGGATATATTTTTTTTGAAAATCTCCCCCAACCCATTTTTTACGATTTCTTCTAGGCACTCATGGCCGAACCCGATCTCTCCAGGAATACAGCAGGAACGGGAGGAGCATCTATGACCGCTTGTCTTGGTTTGGGGCGGGGTGATGGAACTAGAGGAGGGCGTTAAGGTGTGTGTGTGTGGGGGGGGGGGCCTGAGGTCTCAACTTCCTGAAAATTTCAGGCTGGCCCTATGAGCGTTGATGCATAAGCAATGGCAGTGGTCCCTTCCCGTCTCCAAAACCAAGGACTTTGTTTCTCCTGGTTTGCGGACTCCCAATTATTTGGTTTGGGTTGGTTCGTACAAGAGCCCTTTCAGCCATCCGTGACCATTTCAGAGAGATGGGATCTAGGAGAGCAGATAGTTCATGCAGGACTGCATAGACCAGGGAGCCCCCCCCCCCCCCCCACCGAGGCTTGGCCCCTGCAGGGCTCGACGCCACGACTGACATACCAGGTGGCACTTAAGCCCAATCATGATTCATGCATGCAGCGGCTTGGCCTCGAATAATTGGGGCGGCGCGAAAATGAAACGTGAATGAGAAACGGAAAACGAATCCGCATGACTCGCAAGGATGCACGGACTCCCAGGACGCACGGACTCCAGACGGCTCGGATGCCCGGGGGCCACGACTCGCGTGGCGCGTGCCGGCCGACCTGGTGGTCCCGCGCGCCTCCCTCACCATCCGCGTCATCCACAGGTAGGCACCCATCGAGACGGCCAGGGTGATGTCGGCCAGGGTGAAGTAGACCAGCGCCGAGTTGACGGCCGCCGCCACCTCGTCGTCGCCGGACACGGCGATCGACACGATCCTGGCGGAGCGCAGATGAATTAGTCAGATGCCGCGGCCGATTGTCCGCCACCGCCCGGTGATGAGCAGCGGCGCTCGTCTGCTGCAATCGTGCTGTTGCATTTGAAGAAAGAATGGGGCAGTGCGTTGACATCAAACTAAAGGTAGCAAAATTATAAAAGAGTATATCTAAACCGTCTCGAGACTGACTGAATCATGTCGCAGCGCAGTCGGCCACGGCTTCACTGTTTGGCGCCACATTTCCATTGGCACGGCTCGGCCGTACGCCTTCGTCTCAGACGCGCCAGCCTAGCGATGCGGGTCTGTCATAGGGCGACGGATTTTCGGTGGGGCGGGGACACAGCAAGCAACATGCCTGGAGCCAGACGTTCACCTTCTGAAGCTTCAGCCAGCACCGACCGAGAACTCCTCATTACTCGTCCTGCCCTTCAGATTAACATCTGCGCATGCGCTTTAATGTCAGGCTTGCCCTGGATCTCACAGATCATTCTACAAATTTCGGGTAAGTGTCCTACGGTCCTACTCAAGCATGTTTCAGGACATTTTACAATATAATAGCATCCATTTGATTCTTTCCAACAACAGAACACACGTGGCAGAATATAACACTCATAACCTCAAACCTGCGATCAAGGCAGGACATCAGCTTTCAAATTGCCGTGAAGGACGGTTTTAGAGTGGTACGACAAGAAAGCGAAGGACTGCGAACCACGTTGACATGTGAAGCGTATTACTGTTATGCAAAACTAGCACACAACCTGTCTTGTGCCGGCTGACTGGTGAGCAAGGGGAACTGGGCGTGCTGGTGACAGATCAGGCATACTACGTGATAACAGTGGGGCGCGTGGTTGCAGCTCGCACCGCCATGAGCTTGCTTCCAAACCATGTTAACATACGTGAAACGGACACACGGGGTACCCGAGTATCACCAGCGTATCTCTCCCTCTTCCCCAAGGTGTTGACTGGTGCATATAACCTTACAAAGGGTATGGCACATAGGCACTCCCAAATCCTCTGATTTCAAGGATCCTATTTGTTTTGATTTGTTATCAATGATCCTATTTGATGAAACGATCCTGGTTGCCTAACGATCAGATGATCGTTCCATAGCCAGCCATTTCGACAGAGGGTGGTAACAATGTCTCCTAAATGGCAGAGCGCCGTATTGTTAGACGCTCTCGCCAGGCACCCTGTGCCGAATAGGATGACGCTGTAGAGGTTACCAATCCCGACAATTCCGGCCAGTCTGCGCCGCCTGTCGCGCCGGCCGCTCAGGCGGCGGCCGGGGTCCGCCAGCGATTCCCCCCCCCTCTCCTACCCTCCCGCCCCCCCCCCCCCCCCACCGGTCGGCCCCGTACCGACCTGCAGACGCAGGCGAACACGGCACCCAGCGCCTGGCCCGACAGCACGGCCGACAGGTACTTGGACGGGAACTGGGCCGACAGGCCGAACAGGCCGCCCTGGAACACGGCGGCGCCCACTGTCGACCGGCAGGCGCAGGTCAGTACACGAGCACGGCGGCTCACACAGGTCAGCGCGCAACACAAGACCTACGCAGGTTAGCACGGAACACGTGACCAACGCAGGCTAGCACGGGACACTCGACCAACACAGGCCAGCACGGAACACACGATCGACACAGGTCAGCACGGCACACACGACCAACACAGGTTAGCACGGAACACACAATCGACACAGGTCAGCATGGCACACACGACCAACACAGGTTAACACGGAACACACGATCGGTACAGGTCAGCACGGAGCACACGACCGACAAAAGTTAGCACAGAAAATACAGAGGACAGCATGGAACACAAGCCGACACAGGTCAGCACGGAACACACGACCGACACAGGTCAGTGGAGAACACGAGACCTGTGTCGGTGTCTTACGCTATGTGTTGGTGTTTCACACGCGGCCAAGAACGGAGCGCCGCTGGCGCACCTCAAGCCACGGGGCTTACCATTCAGAATCACTACCATCACCATTGTGATGGCGAAGAAGGTAGACTGCCATTGGTCAGAGTTCACGGGCACCAGGATCGTCGTGACAATGAAAAAGACGATGACGACGCCGAGTGCCACCAAAAGCTTCAGCTGCTGGTTGATCCTGCAAAGGGAATTACTCAGATGTATATTCATGTCAACCAAAGGGGCGGAGAACGATATCACGGCATCATTTACTCCGGCATCGGCAATGGCTGGTGCGGTCCGGTATCGACGTGCAACGAACCAAACTCTGTGTTGTTGGCTATGCAGCTTGGTACTTCGAAAACATCGGTATAGCTGCGGATAAACTGCCAGGCTTAAAAAGATCGGAAAAGACGGTGAGGGTAGAAGTCGATTCGGGTGGTGGATTTTGGTGAAGCTTTGGGTCGTCCAAAATCCGTCCCCGTCCTTTTGTAACATTGGTAGCTGGCACCAATCAGCTACCGCAACTGGTGACCTCACCGACCTTTAAGCTTCCTATTAGTCGCCCTGAATGGATTCATCGATACGCCCCCAGCCCGCTGCATTCCAGAGTCGTTTAAATGAGTCGTAATCCTTACTGACAAATCAGCTTCTGATGAATATCAGACATCGTTAATTAGATTACCAGCACCCAGTTCAACTGTTTAATTAGGTCATAAAATGGATTTGCTGGCAAATCATCTACCATCACGACAGTGGGCCGTACGGCAGCGTCTCCCGCACGGCCCACTCCGCCTACCACGTCCCAAATCAGCCCTCGTTGAAAGTACCAAGGTTAGAGAAGCACGTGTCAAGTAAAATAATGGCTGCAACATTTAAGCTTGTTCACAAAGCGCCCTTGTAGTACTTGACAGCTCAAGTTACTGATAATGTCATAGGTTGGGTTTGGAGTCGAATTCTTCTGGATTTTTAAAACGTCACAATGGGGTTCATTTACCAAAAAACTATTTATTGAGCAAGATACGTTCACCTACTTCGTAGTGTAGTTAGTCGGGACAACCCAAAGCATCCACCACGGAAAAGAAGCCCGTCGGGAAAGGGAGAGGAGCGCATATGTCTGGCATCATAAGCTCCTGCTGCCCCTTCCTGACCAACGCGGCGAAGGAATGCCCAGGCTCGCCTCCCTACTCAGTGGACATGCGCCTCCGCATCCACAACTGGGCTAATTCCCTGACGGGATCAAAACAGATCCCGCGGTCCGCTGCAGCTTCCACTAAGGAAAAGCCTGGCCTGCCACAATTCTCAGGTGAAAATTCGCCGATCGGCTTTAAAAAAAGTGACGCCTCGATGGCAGGGAGCGAAGGGGAAGCCGAGTGCACGATTATCTTGGCTGCACGTGGCGGCTGCTCCCTGCAGGAAAAGGCGTTGACAGCTCTTGCCAAAGCTGACTTTCATCCAATCCCAGAAGGCGACTGGGAAACAGAGAAGGGCCAAGAGGAGGAAGAGGTGACTTTACTACATCTTAAGGAGGTCGAAAACGACGGCGTGTGCCTGGAGCGCAAAGAAGCCAAAACGGTCTTGCAGGAGCCGTTAGAGCCGTTAGAACAAGAGCCGTTGGAGCACCCGTCGGTGCGAGAAAGAGAAACAACCGGCATCAGCTCACCACCGCCTGTTCCGCCCAAGCCATTGACGTTGTCGTCACGCCCCCGCAAAGTGCCAGGTAGGTTTACTGATCCACATCAAGCACCGCAAGAACCTTTCCTGGTGTCTTCCTCCACAGAGATGTTGGATGCCAGTGCGTCCCTGCCGCTGGAGATTCCCGACGACATAGGCCAGGCTTGCTATTCCTCCGAGGCACCAACGTCAAGCGCAACTCTGTCGTCGGAAACACCGCCGGACACTTTTCAGGCTTCGTCCTCTTCAGAGCTGTTGGACGCCATCTCCAACATGACGGCCGCACGTGGCTCCAAGTCACGCCGCTCGCGGATGACGAGCACACGCGCTCCGACGCCGTGGGCGGCGGACGGACCGCCGGAGGAGGAGCCGGGCGGCGAGGACGAGCCGCTGGACCGGGCGCCCTCGTCCGACGACAGCTCGCCGTACGGCAGCGTGAACGGCACGGCAGACTCGTCCTACCACACGCTGCCGACGCCGACCAGTTCGGCCGAGCGGGCCGGCGACGCGGCGGCCGGCGCCGGCGGCGAGCGGCCGGCCGCGCCGCCGGCGACAGCCGACCCGGGCGAAGTCAGCCTGCGCTACTTCTGCGGCGCCTTCCGGCCTGACGACCATTTCATGTCTCGCCACGCCGGCCTGGAGGCGATCGCGACGGACGTCAAGCCACCGCGCGTGACGCCCGGCCTCTCGGACAGCGCCGTCGGCCGGCCGGCAGCGGCGACGGCGGCGGCGGCGCGCGGTGATCGCCGCCGCGGCGTCGCCTCCGACAGCACGCTGCCGCTGTCCGGCCGTGGCTCGTCGCCAGAGCTGCCGGCCGGCGACGACTCGGGAGTGGCGCTGGAGGCCAAGCGGTCGGACACGGCGCTGCCGGTATAGCCGGCGGTCGGCGCCCGGCGGCGCGGGGCGTCGGCCACGGCCCTCAGGGGAGTGACGGCCGGATGCACGGTCGGGACGGCAGCTCGGTGGCTGAGAGCGGCAGCCTCATGTCCAGTGGCCCAGCGCCAGGCCAACGATGGAAATATCCGGGGATGATAACGGTGCAGATTCAAAATACGTCCGGAAGTCCATGCCATCAACGTTTCCGGTGCTTACCTTAGGGGTGACAGGGCATCTCCCGACATCTGGGTAATGGATGTACGCGCCTGAACGAGCACTGACTCAATTGCCAACAGTAATGGAGCGATGCCCAGAACTTTGTTCAACTATTTTATTTTGGCACTGTGCCGACAAAATACAGCGGCTACTTATTCATGCCTTCGCAACTATAGAATAGCAGCCTAACTATGATACTGAAATTTGCATTGGTAAGGATCTTATCGGGACCTGCAAGAGATCACTGCTCCCAATTAATGGGCATTTGCTTTAAAAGATAATGACGTTCTCGAACCACAAGCTTTTGTCAACCTTGTTGCACGCATAGCAGAGTTACCTACATACGCACATTCTTGTGGTACTCAAAAAGAAATGCATCTACCCGCTACAGTGTACAAACACGTTGTTGGAAGTACTAGCATATGGCTGTCAGTGCACACATTTGCTGCATTTAAGCCAACAAATTTACGGGCCCTAGTTCATCATCACCCAGAATCTGTGCCTCAGATGCTTTAGCCTGTCGGGCTCTTACCGACACAGTAAGAGCCAGACGACCCAGGCCGGGGCCACTGTTCAGAGTCTGAAGACCACTTCGCTGCATCACCAGACACGTCGGTTAAGCGCCCATTGTCAGCTATGCTGGTGCGGTGGTTCGATCTGACCATGTTGACGTCACTGTCTCAGATCTAATGATTGAATTGTATTGACGCTCATTGTGATCCTGAGCAAGACAGGCAACAGACCATTTGTCGACGAAAGGCGACTACACGCATGCATAAAGACCTAAGCATTTTCACCAATGTTCTAAAGACATGTTACAGCACTGCTGACAAACGTTTCGACCAACGTGAAATCTAAAGCTTTTGTACATACTACGGCTGCTTCCTCGCGCTCAAACACCACACCTGAAATATCATGCGAATTATATACAACACAGAACAGATGAAACACAAGATACGCACAGAGAATGCAAATTTCATTGGTGATGCTCATGGCGAAAGTGAAATGGGTATCGCCAACGTAGCAATATCCACTGCATTCACACTCTGTCATTTGCTACAATTGCATACGGTACAAAACGACAGACCCTCGAATCCTTCCGCAACAAAGGCTCGATCTACACCGCCTCCCCAGCGTCACGTCTGCAGCCACTTACTTGTCGGCCAGCACGGCGTTCAGCGTGAGGAAGATGGTGTTGGGCAGCATGGAAGCCACGCTGAGGTACGCGAAGAAGTTGTACTGCAGGTCGGTGGTGGTGTCGGTGGCGTTGCTGTTCGCGTCCAGTGTGGCGTTGCGGAATTTGTAGTTCCAGTACTGCAAAGAACACATCGCGTTCTGAAATTGGGGCGCGGGCTCGGTTGTGCATTCTTCTTCTCAACGGTGCCGGACATGCCGGACAACCCGCTGGGAAAGACAACGCCAAAACAAGCAAGTTCAGTAGGTCTCCGGCCGGACTAGCCTCCAGCCCAGCCGGTGGTGGATTGTCCGTTACGGAGTGCCGTTCCCGGAACGCGCCTCCTTCCGTCCTCGGCCGTGCGTCAATACCAGCGTGGTCCCAGCGAACGTGGTCGCGTCGTTGCCGGCAATAATGGCGGTAATGTAGAGGTGCATGGGCGCCACCTCGGTGCGTGGTTTCCAGCATTACTTGCCAACACGTGCGTGTCGCACGATGCAGGCCTTATACATCCATGGCCCATTCGGTGTCCATTTCGTAATCCCTTCGCTCTGACACGGAGCCCTGCAGCGTCATCTGCTCCAGGCCATCTAAAAGCCGGCCGTCGCTGCACGCGCCGCTCCACGTGCTCCGACGGTACGCCCGGCGGAAACCGGCGCCGCTGAGCCGTCGCCGACGGGCGGCCAGACGGCCACGTGGTCGACCCGACCGGCGGCGGCGGCGGCGGCGGCGGCCGCCGCCGCCGCCGCCGCTGGCCGGCCGCCAGCGCCGTGGGCCACGCGGCACGCACCGGAATAGACCCCCGGCGTGCAGGTGGAATGTGGAGCGGCAGCTGGCCGTAACGTCTGCTGTCGCCCCCGGGGAGTCACCGGGCACTGGACGGCGGCCCAGACAAGACACCGCCCCTGATACTTGTAGACAAAAAAAAGACAAGAAATGTACCAACCAAAAGGCGGCTTATATTCCCGAGCGTTCGAGCTCATTGGACACCACTCGAGATACATGTAGACAAAAGACAAGAAATATACCAAAAGACGGCTTACATTCCCCCACTTTCGAGTTGATTCTTTGTGACAGTCAGAAAATGCCACTTTGCCCCACGCCATACGCCATCTACCGCAATGCAATGCAGGCAGAAATTCATTCGTACCCGTCAAATATTCTTTGCTGGCTCCTAACCCTCGGAATACCATTGGCTGGTGCAGTGCAGCTCTCCCAGTACCTACCCGCGGCGTGGATCGGAACCCCTGTTGCAACCGCATCGGCCATGATAACCGCCAGCCCGTCCAGGAGCGACCGCACCCAGGGAGTGGCGGGGGGGGGGGGGAGACATCCAGCTGACGCGGGTTGCGGATCCATTACATGATGTCCATGAGTCAGGAGCACAAGCACGCTAGCACGTCATGTCATCTGACGCGATCGCCCCTGGTGACCGGGACAACCCGGGGAGCGACGTGGTGGACACGACCCCAGACTGAGACACGTCACCAGACTCCAGACTCAGACACGTCAGCAGACTCCAGACTGAGACACGTCACCAGACTCCAGACTGAGACACGTCACCAGACTCCAGACTGAGACACGTCAGCAGACTCCAGCCTCAGACAGGTCGCCAGACTCCGGCTCGCGGGTGGCGTGACCGACCCCGACCACGCGACGCCATGACTGCGCCCATCTGCCGCACCGGAGCCGGAGCAGGCTTGAGCTGCGACTTCCGTCCTCTGAGCTCGCGGCAGGCTAGCACTTCCTCAGGAAGCACTGCTTGAAGTGGAGACTGCGGTCAGGGCACTATGCTTGCTGAAGTGAAGTGACTTTGAAGTTAATGAGGAGTATAATAAATAAATCGTAAAACGCACCCGGCGGTAACGCAGAGGGACGGGAAGGCATGTCCTAGTCTCAGCGGCAGGGTGCACAACACATTGAAACTGCTTTTCATTACAGGTGCAGTGTGTTTGAAGTCCAATGAAGTAATTTCGATATGCTATTCGACCTCGGTGTAAGCTTCCAGTAATGGCATGCTAATCACATATAGATAACTGTAAAACCGGAAGTCCAGTTACGACCTCAGGCATGAAAGGGTCAACTGCTAATCAGATACAACATCAGGTCGCCAATCAACACCACCCACCGAGGCATCTTTTCTGAAATCCATGATCTGCACCTACAACGCCTTGGATGATTTTACGAGGCTGCACCACCATCCTCACTACAGCCCCCATAGTGCCCGGGTCGGCCCTTGTTTGCGGACAGACTAAGTCGCCCCCCCCCCTTCGGTGACCAGGCAGTGGAGCGGCAGTGGCTGCGCGTCCCGTCGGCAGCGGCCCCGGCGGCGAGGCGGCCGCGGTGCGTGCCGGTGCAGCCGACCGGCGCGCCACCTGTACCCGACACCGCAGTCCGGCCCGTCCCGGACGCTGCTGATGGCACGGCTCGGCGCCACCCGAGCTCCAGTCAAGCGGCCGCAGGCCGAGCCCAGCATCCGGCATGTGATCTCCATCGGACCCGACATGTGATCTCCAGAGGGGCCGGTCTCCGTTTGAAGCCACAGCTACTAATTCGGTCCCATGTACTAAATTTAGGGGAGCGATGTGAAAGCAGGTTTTTCCCAGTTTGGAAAGGGGTCCGTGTCCCGTTGTCCCTCCACCTTCCTCTTGGATACATCCTCGCTCTCCTCCCCGCTCTGGGACGGAGCTGTCGCAGGTCGTGGGAAAAGTCGCCGGGTCACCGTTCCCGAGTTGCTGCCTCGCTGGCCAGCCCGGTCACCTTAGCGCAAGGGGGCAGCGTATGGGCGATGTGGAGCTGGAAACCCACTGCATCTCCAGCCGGCGACCGAAGCAGAGCGACATCCCTGGCCTAGGGACATCACCAATGCAGGGCACGCGAAGGCCTGTTGTGCCCCCCCCCCCCCCTTCCCTCCCCTCCCCCTCCAGCACCTCCCGCGACAGCGCGAATGCAATTGATCGCTAAAGCTTGGATGTCGAAATTATTGGTTTGATCTCACAGGGTATATGACCGTAAGACGCGCAGGGGCGCGGGCGTGGAATCACGGGAGTGCTAAGCTAAAGGGCTCATTAATGGTTAGTGTGGCTAATTTGGCACAGTGACGTTTGGCAGCTTCGAAATCAGTACCTACGGCGGTGCACGGAATGAAACGATTCAAATCATCAGCGGGCTTCCGCCTCGCACAGAGAAACCAACGCCCCCACCGCGAGGCTCCCAATAACCACAAACGCGTGCGCTCAGCCAGCCGTTCGGTAACTTCGAGCACACCTCGCGTCCAGCGCGTGCGCTCGCAACAGCGCGTCCAACGTTCGTCCCGTGAAAAGCATAGGGCTTCGCACGGAACAGGGCAAAACACCGCCGCGGCCGAGGTTCTGTCCGCGCATTGCCGCGCCATTTCCGGCGCAAAGTTACAGACGCAGAGCGCGGCGGCAAAACCGGTGCGACGAGAACGTCCATCGATCGGTGGCCGCCTCCGCCAGGCCCGACCAGCGTCAGCCAGTCGGCTGGCTGGCGTCAGTCCTTCGAACGACCTCTGCCGTGCAGCCACGCCTCACGACATGCGCCGAGGTCATGGGGTCATCTGCGTCGGCGCGCGCCTCCGAAAACGGTGAGGCGTCGTCCGGCCCGGTGAGGCGCGGGGGTCCAGCGCGGCTTCACAGGCGCGCTGAAGGCGAGTCGAGCTCGACGCGTCTTGTGACCCGCGTGCAGGAAGCCATGCCTCCCCATCCCTCTACTTTGATAAGCTGAAGGATGGTACGCGACAGAGTGCCGCTGATGATATACACCCCGCCGGCCCCACACGTGCGTCCTTGACTGCCGCCAGCCGGCCCCTTGTTGATAACACAATCGGGAGATACAGGACGCGTGTCGGGTGTTCTATTCAAGAAGTCGGGATCACACTATGCTGGACAATGATAACCAATTACACATTAATCAAACCACGTTTTCAATCGAATATTCTGTTTGTCAACACTCGGCTATAGCTCCTCTTCAGTACCAAATGAACGCCATTGCGAGTGGCTACAAAAAAAAAAAATCAACGCCGCGGCAAATCAATAACTCGGATGGCAAAGATTGGATGTGACGTCATACGGAATCAATGTGGGATGCGCAGAACCCTTTCAGCATGGTTGTCCGTCTCAGACAATTGTGTCACAGTCGCTGCAAATTTCTATAAGCAAAAACAGCGATGATGTGACGGAAAACAGCATGTGCAACAGTTTTCATGTGTGCGACGAGGCGCACCCACCAACCTGCGTAGCGGACGTGACATGAAACACATGCTGTCCAGAGGTAATCAAGCGAACCGCTACGATCAGAATCTCACGTATATCCCAACGTCCCTCTCCGTACGTGCTGCCCATTTGTGACGGGCGGCGAGCGACCGGTGTCGGAAGGGACCACTCCCGGTGCCGATACAAAACGGCCTGCTAACCGGCCGATCGGCACAGGCGAGTTGAGCCAGGCTTGCCCCATGGCAGACTCAACAGCCTACAGAAACAAACACCGCGCAGTCCAAAGAGCGGGCCGGTTTCCTGTCAGCACTCTCCTGAGCAGAGCAGCGGACTGGACCACGCCTCAACTGTCACACAAGCAGGACAGCGCAGCAGGCAGAACAATAGCGGGAAGCTGGCCAGACGTGCCTCGGCACAATCTGGTTTCATACATGCGCGTCACAGAATCTGGGGGAATTATCTCCCGATGGTCTTACTCGGGCTGCGCTCCTGCAGTGTAATCGAACCCCTCCCACCAGGAAAAATTGGTCACAGATGAAGGCCGACTGAATCCGAGTGCGACGGTTGAGCCAGGGGTGTGTTCGCAGAATAGACACAGGGAAAACATCCCCCCCCCCCCCCGCTCCCGGAATCAGACCAGGGAAGCTCGCTTCTACCCACCTCGACAAACCACCGCAGCATCCGAGTGGGTTAAACAGGCACGCCTAAGCGTACGAACTGCGAGACAAGGTCTATGACTCTCACTTCATCGCCAAGCTTAACGACCCATATTATATTTGACCCCATATGACTGTATGGAAAGAGGCGTTCATGATGGTTTGACCGCGCCATTTTGGGGCCCTTCCGACACCACGCAGTCGCGCCAAGCCGCCCTCCTCAATACGCACTTCAGCTAGAAATGCTGT